ATTTATAATTTATTATAAGCTTATATAAATCTTATTTATTTTTTAATTTTAAGAAGTATTTATTATTAATTTAGCTAATAATATCTTTTCTTAATATTATTTTTTATAAACCCTTTTAATATAATTTATCTTATAGTAATATTAATATTTAAGTTTATAATAATTATTCTTATTTAAATTCTCTTATTAAGTTATTTTAACCTTTATAGGTTTTATATAAATTCTATAAAATATATTAGTTTATTAGGATTATTCTTAATTAATATTAAATTAAGGTCTTTAATAAAGATTTTTATTATTATAAGGCTTTTAAAGTTTTTTTAAAGAAAATTATTAATTATTAATTATAATTATTTATCTAATATAATTAATAAGGTTATTTAATTAATCTTCTTTATATAGCTTAATTTATATTTCTTTCTTAAGTTTATTAAAAAAAATAATATAAGGGATTATTAATCTTATCTTAACTTTAAGGTAAGTTAAAGGTATTTTATATTATATTCTAAGGTAAATTAAGTTTAATTAAATCTCTTAATTTCTTATTTTATTTATACCTTTTTATTAATAATTCTAAAAGCTTATTATAAGGTAGCTTTAAACTTAATATAATTAATATAAAATTTATAAGTATAAAGTAAGAATTAAATAAAAAGGGTATTAAGATATTTTTTTATATTAAGTTTAAATTATATAATAATATACTTAATAAGATACCTTATAATATATTAAATATAATTAAATTCTAAATTAAATTAACTTAGGTAATATATTATAATAGTATATAATTATATAAGAAAGATAAGTAATTTATATATAATATTATTAAATTTCTCTAGTAATTTTAATTTTAAGATTTCTTTAATATCCTTTCCTTTTATAGCTATAATAACTATATTATTAATAAGCTAGATATTACCCTAATATTACTAATTCTAAGCTTATTAATTAATAGCTATATAATTAATAAGTTCTCTAAGCTTATTTATCTTATTAATTATTATAATAACCTAAGCTTAGAGTTATTTAATTTTTTTATTATTATTATTTATTTCTTTATTATTATTAGGGTTTATTTATATTAATATAATAAGAGTAAGTAAATAATTAATAAGTAAGATTTATTAATAATTATTACTAGGAATAGCCTAAGTAATTATTATATTTAATATTATCTAAGGTAATATAAATAATTTAATAAATAAGAGCTATTAATATATAATAATTATAAGATTCTTAAGGGATAAACTAATTATATTAGTTTATATTAGTACTAGATTATATTATATAGCCTTAAATGGTAATATAAATTATATTTAATAATATACTTAAGGGTATTAAGTATAATTAAGTTATATTAATAACTAAGGTAGCTAATATATAAGAAACTATTAATAAGTATATTTTATATATTTAAGAGTTAATCCTTAGATTATAAGGGATTATAAGATATTAGTTATAATATAATTATAATCCCGGTAAGGATTATAGCGAGATTATAATATCTTAGTATAATTTATATTAATCCTATAATAATTAATAGGTATAATAGGTCTTTTTTAATTATATGCCTATAAAGTATACTAGGCCGTAATAAAAGCTTTATTAAATTTTTATTTATACTAGCCTTCCTTAATTGCCTTAAAAAATACCTTAAATATCTTATATAGAGAATAATATTATTAAAGCTATATTAGATATTATAAATAATAACCTCTTCTAGAATTAGGCCGCCTAGAAGCATAGTATACCTTAGATTACTCTTTCTAACTAATTAAGAGGCCTATTATCTAAGTCTAAGATTACCTATCTTACCTAGCTATTATCTAAGCCTTAGGAGTCTAGGTTAATTACCTAGATACTTAGATAAAAGGCCTTAAGGTATATTCCTTCCTATAGTTAAGTTCGCGCTATTATCGCGGCCCTTTTAAGGTAATAAGGCTAGGAATAGCCTATTAATATATACTAGCTAGCTAGGTTATAAAATATTATCTAAAGATTAAAAAGAAAATAAGGAAATACTAAGAGGCCTTAAGATTTAATTCTTTTATTCTAATAGCTATTAATTAATACTTTAATATCTAAGAGATAAAATATAATTAGATTAAGCCTAAGAATATAATTAATATCGACAAGGGCAGTATTATAGCTAGATTTAGCGAGTATTTATCGTTTTTAATTATAAATCTTACTAATTATAATAGTTAAGGTTCCTAATATAGTAAACTATAACGTGATTTAGTTTATATTAGTAATTATAATAGGGCATAATATATTAAGCATAGGGTAGCGAATTACTTCTAATAATATTAAGAAGTATTTTTAAGTAATTAAGTTATATTAAAAGCTAGAGAGCTATCTAGATATAAGAAAGTAAGAATAAGCGAGGCTATATATACTTATTCTAATTTGCTTAGTTAAGTATAATTAAATACGCTTTTATTTAACCTATTTAACTATTTCAGGTTAAGGTTTTACTTTTAGTCGAATATAGTTAAACTCATTCCTATTCGACTAGTTCGACTATATACTACTTCCACTAGGGCTTATTTATTCTATTCTGAGCTCCGATGTTTTCTATTTATATCCTGATTGATCTTCTTACTCGTAATACTAATCTATTGCGAATCTAGGCTTAGATTCCTTAGTTATTAGCAGTGGTAATCTTAAGAGGAAGGCTATTCTCAAAGGCTCTCAGCCCCGTCCTTAGACTAGCTTTATCGAAGCCGTGACTATAGATAGCTATCTTCTAAACTAGGGATTATTTTTAAAGGCAAAGGACTTTAGTAGTAGTAGTTTATTAATAAGTTAAAGAAGATAGTAAACTAGTATTATATTACTTTTAAAAATAGCTAGATAGATAATTATATCGCAATTAAGTAGCTTAAAGAGGCATATCTATCTTAAACCTAGCTAGTAAATAAGCCTAATACTAGATATATTATATTAAATAGCTATAGAAGTTATATATCTCTAAGTACCTACCTAGTTTAAATTATAAAGGTCGCTAATATAAAATCTAAGATAAGTAAATAACTACCTACTTTTTAAATAATATATATTATTATTACCTACCGGTATATTACTCCCATAGCCTATAGCCGCGGGATAATAATATTTTTAATACCTCTAAGGATATATATTACTAAGAACTATAAAAACTAGTAAGCTTAACTAATTCTATATTAGTAGATAAGGTTAATTTTATTTAGGCTTATACTAAAGCTAGGGAAGTAAGTATAATAAAGAAAAATATACTCTTAGGCTAGAGAGTGACTAGAAATTAGCTAATTTTACGATAAAAAGCGCTCATACATCCAGAGATTTAACCAGATAGGAAAGAAACTATATCTACATTAGAGGGTCTCGGAGATAGGCAACTCGGCTCTAATAATACGCTAAAAACTAGCCATTATATTAGAGACCTGGGGAAAAATAAGAGCCCTTCAACTAGAAGATGCTATTCTGTGATATCGAAAGGGTTTGAAGCCCAAGAGTCAAAGCTCGCCTCCCTGAGTCTCCAGTATAACCTGGATAGTCAACTATGCGCGCAAGACGATATAGAACTCTCTCCATTGAAGAGAGCAATTGAGCAATTCAAATGGTGTTTTTCTTGTAATCTTTAACTATTGAACTGATGTAGTTGTTATTCTATATATGGTTGGCCTGGTGAACTTGATGAGGTGAACCAGACCCGCCCCCTCGGGACTTACGTTGCCCTTGTTGCCTGCGACGCAGAGCATCTATGTTCAAATTAATTCTCAGAAATCTCCAGACTCCTGCTGGGCATTCTCCCGCCCGGTGTTCTGGGGTGCGCGACGTTGACCCGCTCGGTTTGCTCCAGGATCCTGGGGGTACCTCGTCCAAGTTAGAATCAGTCTTCGTCTGAGCCGTCGAAGCCATAATCTGCTAGGCGGGAAAAGTAACCTGCAAGGCCGTCGACGCTAGGGGCGCCGACGACGTCGTCGTAGTGCGGTGGGGGTGTCCTGACGCCTGTTTCGGGAGTTTCGTCGACGAGTTCGGGGGCGGGTGGTGGTGCGATATTGTTGTCGAAGGCAGGAGGGTTGAAGATGGGTACTCGCAATAGGTGGGGAGTTCGACTCGGGCCGTGGACGCCTGCTGTCTCAGCGGAGGGTCGTGGGCCTTGTTGGCCATGGGCAAGGTGTGCAGCCGGCCACGGGGAGAAGAGGTTCCCGCTAGTTAGGCTAACACTAACCATTGTTCCAAGGAAGGAGCGGGGCGAGGTTTCGGTTCGGATGGTCAAGGCGTCGGGGCATCCACAGGTCGACTGGTAGGTAGTGGACTGGCACATCTCGTCGGAGTAGGCGGGAAGGTTGATGTTGGCCGAGGTGGCTCGACAGTTGAGTAGAGTAAGCGGCAAGTTGGTGGCGATCTCGAAATTCCGGCCCTTTGTTCCAATTGGATCATCGGGATCAAGACGGCTGATTCGCATCATGACCTATTTCGTCAGTATCAGTACTGGAGTTAAGTAGGAGCGTGGTATACGCTCACCTCAACCCAGTGGTGGACATTGACATTCTTCCAGATACACTCGGGATGCAACCTCAAGTCCTTCTTCTTAGCCATCATGTTACAAGTTGGGATCTGCAAATCGACTTCAATCTCCATGGGGCACCAAAAACTCTCCAATCCTAAGTCTAAGTCGCACAAGAAGTTATCGCTCGGCTCCGGTAAAAGCTGAGCCGCGGTGTGTCGTCCAGACACCTCTGCAGTTCGTTGTCTGGCGGCCGTTTCGCGAGCCTCGCGTCGCTTCTCGGGGGAGAGTTCACCACCTCGGACAATCCTAAGGTTTGAAGACGCCCATGACGGGTCCAATGTTTTTCCGGCCGTCTTGTTGAGGAGCAGAATCTTGCGACCAGAGGTTTTCCTGGTACAGCGCCTGTCATTCGTCCAGTATTCGATCGACTCGATCATAAACACCTTGAGCTCGTGCACTTGGACCTTGGCCAGAGGCGTCAACTTGAAGGCGATGGGGATCTTGCTGCCGATGGGGAAGCTCTTCCCGGACATGATGATGTCGTAATGCAGCTGATCCTGGTATTGTCGGCTAATTGAGATGCACTCCGTCATCTCCAGAGACAGTGGGTCGGGAACTCGCACTATCGAAACCTCCTGCATGCCGTGTAGGTTAGGGTTGAATACACCAACGCGATCGACAATCGCATGCAGCTCCCATTTCACAGAGCCATATTGTACCTTCGTGGTCTCGAGTTGGTGGTGGTCGATCGGAAGCTCGAAGGAGTAGTCGTATGTGCCGGGATAGAAAACCCTGCCTTTCACTTTCGATGTCGCAATCGGGCTCTCCTTGTTGACGCTTCGCGATTGAATACTTTGCAAGGGCAATCGCCTCATTCCTTTGACACTCATGTTGCCGTGACAATGCGACGGTAATGATTTCGGCTGGTTCGGTTGAGTAGCAAGATTGGTGTTGCTGGGCCATGTGTTCTTCAATCGGTATGTGCACTGGTTCCCATAATCGTACTTCCACCCATTGTTCATGGCATTGAAAAAGGTCACTACCTGTGTTTGCAGGCTCTCCTCTTCGTAATAACCCAGTTTAATTCCCTCTGGCCACTCCGTGCGGGCGCGACCCAACAACTTAAGCTGCACCGCCTTGATCTTGACATTCTTGCTGACATGTAGCTGAAGTTTACCTCGCAGCAATGCGGTGCCACTCTGACCTACGCGATGACCGTTGCCATTGCGGTCAAAACCCGACAGAAAAATATTATGTTCGGCGAGGAGGATGGAGCAGGTGACGCCGCTCCCAGAAGCGACGGGCTTGGGGATGAGGGAGGCAACGGCGAACTCGGCGGATTGGACGGACATGAGGCTATTGCGATTAAGCGCATTGTACGCTCTCGTCGCCCGAGGGACGGAGACTCGGGCAGCTATGGCGGAGCGTTGGCTTGGTTTTGGCTCTCTTGGTGATGAAACAAAAATGGGTTACACCCAGAAGACTGTTGAGGCTTATACTTCAACACTTGGAAATCCGACCTCTCCTTTCTCCAGGCTCCTTTTCCCTCTGTTAGTCGTTATTCGGCGTCTTCCAGTTGTGAAGCATGTTCGGCTCTTGACTTATCCGCGTAACTTGTTATGCTCCGGGAGGCATCCACATAATTCGGGAGTGGTGCATTCACTGCAGAACAGGGGCTCGCAAGGTTTGGTCTGGACCGTCTCCTGTCTCGATCCTTCGATCTCCAATTCGTGTCCATCTTGTTGAAACAAAAATGGGTTACCCCCAGAAGACTGTTGAGACTTATCCCTTCAATTGTCGAGGAGCTCCGGCAAGTGCCCCGCCCCACACCACCCCTGTCAACGAGGAGGTACATGAGGGGAACCACACGATGCGTCATTAATCATCACCATCAAAATCCTCATACAACCATTCTCAATTCAACGATGACTTCTCAATCGATACCTTCATCACTACCTACAGAGGCAGTCAATCAAGGGGCTTCAATTAGGGCAGCCAAGGTCAAGAAGCTCAAGAAGGCCGTTGGCGCCGGTCAGTCGTAATAAAAGGAGGCGCCAGACAGTTTGGGGATGTGAGCAGTGTGATGTAGCGATTTGTAACTCGAGAGATTGCTGGTACTTCTACGATAGGCTAAAATAGGTGAGGGGCTAGGTACCTTTGATCCGATGCATTTTTATTGGCTGCCAACCCCTGCTGTGACCCGTCCGGAGCTCCTCGACAATTGAAGGGATACTTCAACACATCTGGTCGGATGCATGCCCTAAACTGTCCCCCGAAGGCCCTGGCCTGGAATCCTCGGAAAGCATAAAGGGTCGTGAGGCTTGATGACGAGGTAAGCGAGGAAAAGGTTGTTTCTGGGCCCGCGGGCGCTCATGGCGTATCCCCACGTCGAACAAGGGTGGAGACGGCCGGCCGTTTGGGGGGATAATCTTGATGGCGGATCTGGTGGCGGCCAATTGGGCGGTTTGGCAAGGGATTTCATCCATTGACATCAGCTCATGCTCTGAAAGAGTCTCAGAGCCCATTGTGTTGTTCCATTAATAGCTCTTGTCATTAAACCAATGCCTCAGGTTTCCTCCGGCATTCCAGGCACGGGCACCAGCGCCGGTTTAACGCATAGCCTCGTCTCCTTCAGCTTTTCTCGGAGTGTAAACAAGCATTCACAATCTTCGTCTAATGCCCACTGGCTACGTTAACACTATTTCAAAGCGCAATTTCCCAGCTATCGAATGGTATACAACACTCGATTGGTGAAGTCATTCTTGAGTAATGATGATCCCAAGTTGTGTGCTGGGTGAGATTTTAGCCTGAGCTTTATTGGTTTATTTGCCATTCAGTGAAACCCCAGACGAGTGGATCCTGACGGACCCAGATGCTGACTAAGCGGTTTGTCTTCACGTTCATCAGCGAATTAGGGTTGTCATTGTGGTTTTTTTTTTCTTTTTTTTCTTTTTTTTCTTTTTTTTCTTTTTTTTACTTTTAACTCAGGCTAATCCGGTCAGCGGATGGCGGCAACTTGTCTGTGCCTTGTTCGGTGGTGGGTAAGCTGAGGCTCAATAGCATTCCGTTTGTCACCCTGGATATTTTCAACTTGGTAACCTCAACTCCCATCCACTACACCAAAAGGGCCATCCTAGCAATCGTCGAAGCAGTGATGCCTTAACCGTGATCCGCAGCGCGCTTCTCTTGCCCAAGTCCCATTGACAGCCGATCACCCTCGCAACGATGCCAAAAACCCAGGACCACTTCACTGGCCGTCATTATGACGCTGAACACAGCACCGGCCCGCTCAAGTCTCTGAATCCAACTAAGCGATATCTAGTTGCCGACAAGAAGCCAATCACTGGGCCTGACACAGGACAAGCTGAACTGCCAGCGCGGCCTAGTGCTCAACGTCCCGGAGTTGCTTATGTCTGGAGAAGTCGAGACAATAGGAAAGGACGGCATGCGCTGGCCGTCAGCGTTGATCCTAGAAAACATGATGCAACTAAAGGCCCAAGGCCATCGAACACCTGGAACCAGACTCTACGTGGGGTTTCGAAGATGCTTCTGAGATACCCAGTCTGGGATGTGTCTTACGATGTCGCGGTCGTCTTCACTATAGGCATTGACCACCTCCCGGCACATGATGGTGTCTAATTAAGGAACAGGGCCGATCATTTGGGTCATTAATGGATTCTTCTCCTGGCTGCCCGTCCAAGATCCCTCGACAGAGTTCTCTGACTGGGCTAGCGGACTGACAGAATTCATCGGAGCCACTGTCTTCGAGTTGGGCTCAGTGCTACTTATGTTTGAGGCCGTCAACGAGAACCGCTCAGACTGTTTTGGATGGGCAGTGGAAGAAACTGTAGATGGTGTTCTCCATCTCAATCCTGCACACAATTGCGGGCATTCACATGCCCAAAAGCGGACATTTGTCAAAGGAATCTCGACAAACCTAGATCAAATCGTGGAAAGACGAGGGGAATCATCTGACAGTGATCGGATGTGGTCTTGGTGGCCGACATGGTACGAACTAAGAACGCACTACTTCTGTGAGATAGGTTTTCTGGCCTGCTCCTCGCAGACGTTCGGCGCCACAGTCTTCTAGATATCAGGTGCCACAGCATTACCGCCCATATTGAACAGCCTCTCTACGCCGGCTGAGAACGGGGTCTACTGGCTGCCCCAAGTCATCGGCGGCACGGGTTTCATCGTCTCGAGTACCCTCTTCATGCTTGAAGTCTAGTCTCGCTGGTACGTCCCCGCGCCAGGGGTTCTCGGATGGCATATTGGACTATGGAACTTGATAGGGGCTATCGGGTTCACGCTGTGCGGCGCGCTGGGCTTTGGTATTACGCAGCCGGGTGTCGAGTATGCGCTTACGCTGTCGACGTTCATAGGTTCTTGGGCATTTCTTGTGAGTTTAGCGGTGCTTCGTGGGAGGCATGGGACTGACTCGAGCTTGCAGATTGGGAGTGTGATACAATGGTTCGAGAGCCTTAACAAGTATCCTATCTGGGTAGATGAAATGGTTGGGCGCCTGGAGCGGCAAACAGGCTGAGTCCGATAAGCTTCCGCTCGAGTCCGGCGGCTGATACATGGTGCCTAGATACCTAAACTGTAAGCAATCTCACTGGCCTTTGGATCTCCCATATAATGACTAAGCAACAGAGTGTCAACAGCAGGTATGGCCGGTATAACGACACTAACTTCAGTGACTGCCGATCGATAATTGGCGTAACATTCAACAGGAGAGACAAACCGGCCACAGCTTGCGCAAAATAGCCTTGGGGAACGAAGCGTGAAGCGGTCGATTTCAAATTTCTCAAATTTGGCTTCAAAATCCGGGGTTTCATGTCACATCGTACCATTAAGGCCGCTCTGACCCACGGGCTGTCTGATCAAATTTAGTTAAATCAGATAGCGAGGAAAACCACGTTACAGCTGACGAATACGATCTTTCCCAAGGGAGGATAAAACAGATCAACTTCATTCATTTAGTTAGAAATTAAGAGCTTTAAGGCAGAGTCAGAATCCCTACTACACTCAGACACATACAGACACATATATCTATAACGCCCGGTAGGCCATGCCCAACGGGCTCCGAAGCTAAATATACTTACACCTCTCTAGTTCTTGCCTTAATCTCGCTAAGCCTTTGTGGATCCCGCCTTATTCTTTTGATCTAATTATTACTCTTCTTCTTAGTCCTCGTAAAGGTTAGTAGTAATTTATTAGATATTTAAGTGAAATTATATATATATTAATAATTGCACTAGTTAATCCATGAGAATTATCTGAGGTCTAAGGACCTAATAATAAGATGCACTGAGTTATGTAGCTCTTTATATATAAATGAAAGTGTTACCTGTTTTAGGCAGTAGTAGCTGCCTTGCAAGCACCTGTTCTAGTAGGGCCAGGGCTTAATATGCGATACTTCCTCTTTTAGCACATATTTAATAACTTTAAGTACTTAGCTACCTTCCAGATATTATTATTATCTACTAGAAACTTATTCATAGCATTAAGATACTACTTTATAGCCCCTTTCGCTATTTACTTTAACTCCGCCCTAGTTTGCCTTATTTGCCTCTCAGCCTAGGCATAGTTCCTCTAGTATATATATATTTAGCGAAGCTATATTAAGACTATTATTTACTACTATTTAGTATATAGTAATAGCTTAGCTTTTAATACTAGGGAATAAATTACCTCTAGAATTACTAATATTAACTTATTAATCTTTTATTATATTATTCTTTTTAATACTATTAATTCTTATACGCTTATAATTCTTATATTATTTTCTTTCTAAGATAAATTCTTAAAGAGAAATTAGTCTTATTACTTTAATATAGGAGCTAAGACTTTAAATATTATATTAATAGCCTAATAATCTAAGCTATACTCTATCTTATATACTATATATTTAATAACTAAGGCTATTAACTCCTCTAAAGCTAAGGCTAAGTCTATTATAATTTTAAAGTCTTTATTATTTTATATTTTATTCCTCTAGGGAGTAAATTAATAAGGTTAAACTTATTTATAAGGTTAATAATTTAATTTGCTTTACCTTATCTTATTAAAGAAATATTATTTCCTCCTTATAGCTAATTATATTAATTAAAGTCTTAGATAATTATTATATCTATAAGCTTATTAGCTTCTCTTCTTATATTTATAATAACTTAGTATAAAGTATTATAAGTATTTTATAGAGCCTAGGTATCTCCTCTAGGTATATAAATTAATACTATAAGGATTAGCTACTTAGGGAGATATATAATAATTACTATTATATCTGGTATTACTAATAATAATTACTTTACCTTTATATCCTTATTTATTTATAATATACTCTAGATTAATTACCTCTTATTTTTCTAAATAATAAGTATTATTTTAATTTACTTAAGGTACCCTATAAGGACTATTAGTAGTTTACTATTGCTTTTCTATACCTATAGTTCTTAGATTACTATAGCTATAAAATCTTAGAGTCGCGTATTATTTATTAGGCTCTTATATACTATATTTTATTTTCTTATATTTTATTAAATTACTTAAAATACCTTATTTATATTAGGTAAGGTAAAATTTAAGGTAATTTCTATTAAATAATATATATAATCTATTATAGTGTTATGACCCTCGCGGCTATGTCATGTGTTCTCTATAAATCCCGAGTCTCTAACTACTAATCATAGTAGGACCGATACCACTAAGGACCGATATTATTCCTAGACCGCGCTAGTCCTAAAATAATATCGCGCCTTATCGCGATCGGCTTTACTCGAAGAAGCCTAAGTATATAAAATATATTTATTATATTTTCTTATATAGTAGCTACCTTAGCTATTAATATAACTTAGTTATACTTAATACCTTGAGTATATTACTAGATATAACTTATACTCTTTATTGCTTAGACTATGCCTAGTACTCTCTGCTAATATAAACCTAGTATGACTAGTTTATCCCTTGGGAAATATATAATCGTTATATATTAATAGCTCTTATTTAGTAGTGCACTATATATTCTAAGTAATATTATTACTATGGTACCTAATATTAGATTACCCTCTATCTCTCGTAGTAAGCTGCCTATTACCCCCTAATAAGGATAGCCTGTGACTAAGCTAGAGAAACCTAATATCCCGATGGATATAGACGATGACGATAAGGAATATATCGTCCTAGCCTTGTATGAGGATAAAGTCTATAAACTTAGGAATAAGTATAACTACTTAACTACTTAGTATAATAACCTTTTAGATAGTATATAAAATAATGCTAGGATTACTTAGGAATGACTTATAAGTATAGAAGTATCTATGAATAATATATAGGAACGTTTCCGCTAAGCTATAGAATAATAGTAGTAATAGTACTAGTAAACTATTAATAAATAGTAGGACTAAATCGATTGACTTATTGTACTCTAAGTATAGTAGAATGATCTAGCGTAATAGCAAGTTTATGACCTCGGTAACCTGACGTTTAAGCATAACGCCGCTAGTATAACCTATAAAGATATCGGCGAGATTATTAAGCCTAAGGACCTGGAGCTATTTAATGGATAAGCTATCTATATTAGGATATTCCTTATGTCCCTTAGGGCGTATTAATAATACTTTCCTACCTGAATGGCTAGTGTTAAAAGCAAGGTTTTATATACTAGTAGATATCTTATAGGTAGCGCAATTACTTAGTTTAAGCCTAAGCTACGCGATTTTCTCGGAAATAAGCCTACTAAGGAAACTTAATTCCTCTTCGCGGAATATGAAAATTTTGAAGAAGCGATTAGATAGAACTTTAGAACTATTAATAAAGAATAGTAAGCTATATAGAAACTTAAGAACCTGCGATAGATAAAGGCCGCCTTGACCTATGTAGCCGAGTTTATGTAGATTACTTTATTCCTTAACTAGGGAATGAGCGCCCTCTAAATTGCGTTTTATAAAGGACTTAAGGACGAGGTTAAAGATAAACTCTATAAAGTAGAAAAACCCGATAACCTCTAGGACTATATCGATATGGCTATTAAAATCGATAATTGATAGTTCGAATGGCATATGGAGAAATCTAATAAAGGATGAATTTAGGGCAATAAGAATAATGCTAATTAGTCCCGGAAAAGGGAATAAGCTAAGGGCAATATATCTTATGGGACCTACGTAGGACCTATAGAACTTAGAGCTGCCTAAAAAGATAACAAAGATATCGAATGTTATTATTACTATAAGAAGGGCTATAAGGCTAATAAATATCGAAAGAAATAGCGAGATATTAAGGAAGGGCGTTATTAACCTAAGCCGCGGCAGAACCTCCTAGAAGGTAAGAAGCACCTAAATATAACTAATTAGGACGGCGACCCCTAGATAGCTATCTATACCGCCAAGATACTAGGAATAGTATGAATAGGATATAATAATATTGGCGCGCAGCGAGGAGAAATTATTATGCCCTATTAAGCCGCCTACCTAATGGAGGAATAAGCTATTAGTAACTATGTGATCAGTAATATTACGAAGGAATAACTCTATGAACCAATTAAACCCCCGAAGGTCTACCGGTTATACCTTATTAACCCGGATATATAGAAACCCCTACTAGAACTAAACGATAGAAGGGAAAACCCCTCTAATAAATAATGAATAATTGCCGCTACTTGGCCAAATAGATATTATGAGCCTATTAATTGTAGTTAGTACTCCGCGGGAGCGTAGGCGTAGCGGGAATAGGACGCCGCACGAATCTGTCGATAATGACGCGGCTAATACGTAGTACTCTGGGAAGATGACTATGAGATATTAGTCCGCGAGGGGACCGGTGAATACTATTAGCTTAGCACGGCTACCTGATATATCTAATTAGCTAGGGAATGGTAGAACGTGGACGACGTAGAGGATATCTATGTATGAGTATACTACGAGGAAGAGGCTATAAACCTAAGATAGCCTAAACCCTGTTATGACCTATGGGATGACCTACGCATGATATCTATATACCTATGATATGAAGAAGTCTCTTAGGTATTATATAGGGACTACTATTGTAGTACTTATATCGTAGATAAATGATAGAATAATTATTTTCTAATCTAATTATCCTAACCTAATACTAGGCCTTACCTAGCCTACGAAACCTTCTAATATAAGGTAAAGGAATAGTATGAAGGACTTGGTATCGCTACGCTATGGTTCTATCCTACTAAGGAGGGAGCTATTAGCTTAGAACGATGGATCACTATCGCGATATGGCAAGCTATGACGAAGCAGGAGGAAGCACCTGATGGAAGCTGCCCTAATATAGAAGCTATATTATGCTATGAAGAAATATGCCTACGATACGGATAATAGGTCCTAGTTACCTATGAATGGATAGAATGTATAGCAAAGGAAGGATTTAACTTCCTAATATACTAAGGAAATGCTATCGATAAGGAATAGTATAAAGGCATTTGACTATACTTTAGAAAAGACTATGGACCTATGGATAAGGTCCTATAAGAATATGCTGACTATATCTGGTGTGGAGACCTCGATAAGGTCTACCTAGAAACCTAATAGTTAGATTATACCTATGATGATGATAAGGCCGTAGAATAAAGTTATTGGGAATGGATTGATAGCTAGGTAGATAATTACGACTATGAAGCCTGCGCAGACAGCGAGTGTGAATTTAATTACTATAACTACGCAATGTTAAAAAACTAGATACCCTGTCTGGCATAGGGCGACGGATAGATGAACATGGGAAAGATTTATCCTAGAAGGCCCTTTACTCTACGAATAGAGCGCATAGGCAAAGATGCCTAGAATTAAAAGTATGAGTCAAAGGAGAATAGTTAAATACTTTAGTGGATAGTAGAGCTAAGTAGAATTACTTCGACTTAATGACGGCGAATAAACTTAAGCTATTATAGAGATATAAATAAATGCCTTACTCGGTTATTAACCTAGAAGGAACCCCTTTTGATTATAATAATAGTATTATTAATAGCGAGATTAATTACCTTAAAGTTTTTATTAAAGGAAAGAATTAAGGGATATTATTTGATGTTATACCGAATAAGTAATATGATCTTATACTTAGGTACCTATGGTTATAATAATTTAACCTATATTTCGACTAAAGAACTAGCTAGGTACTCTCTTTTAATAATAAGGTACCCTCTATAATAAATAATAACTTAGAAGACGATATGAGATCTCAAACTTCTACTGAAGATACTAGAGAAGTTAGGCAGAGGTAAATATAAGATATCTCTTTACCTAAAGGAATATAATATAAATACTATAATAGATAGAAACGATAGAATTAGCGAATAATCGCATGCATTATATAGCAATTCTATAGGCTAGAGGAAGACTTTGAGCACGTTAAGAAGATATTAGAAGAAGAATGACTTAAGAATATTCTACTATAATACTATATCTATGAAAAACTCTTTGCGGAAGAACTTAAAATAGGTTTACCTAAATATATATACTATAACCTAGAAATCGAGTTTATCGATAAAAAGTAACCCAGCTTTAATAAACTCTATTTACTTAATGAAATATAATTATTAGTATTAAAGGAATATATCGAAGA